AGCATACTTATCTACATGCTTGGGTAAAAGGAATTAAAACTTTGTGTTACGAATTAGAAAATAAGCGAGTGCGCTCGTCGTATTCAGGAGAATAAATAATTTTCATTCTACAAAGTTTAATGAGATGTTACATTAATCACGCAATTTTACATGTATTAAAAAATAAAATCCAACGTAGTAGGAAAAGAATTTTTAGTTAGCTATTAAAGTATTTTAAAACATTAATACTGGTTATAGGTTTAAAGTAGACAAACTGTCTATTAAAATATGAAAATCATATATATTCGTCTGGAAATTTATTTTAATTCACATAATGTAAATAAACGTTGGAAAACGGAGATGGGAAAATGTGAATTTTGTATAAGTAATAATTACTAGAAAATATAAAATGAAATATGGATAATAATAGCTTGTTTAATACAATATATACCTTTCTCCCAGCATTTCTGTTTCAAATACAATATAATGCGTATTTACGTAATATATGTCACACATGTGCCAGAAATGTAACCAAATCGGATCAAAACCACAACGGAAGGAAAATTACTAGGAAAGGGTCAATTCGGTGTAGAATCGTAAATACATAAATTTATATGATTGTGGTATACTCAATAATTTAAAAGAACAAAAAAACAAACTCTATACAAATTTTTTTTTGTTTTTCTTAGTTTTTTTTTTACTCCTTTGGTATATTTTTTATGTAAAATGAACTGTTAAGTACTTAAAGACATAAACAGCACAATGGACATTTAAAAAAAAAATTATACAATTTAGAATGGCAAACAAGCTGACGGCCCACCTGATGGAAAGTGGTAACCGTCGCCTATAGACATAAGCAGTTATTTAAAATATAGCGTAATGCTTATGCTTCATGCGTCGTAATTTCTGAGGAAAAGTTCATATGCTTGCGTGCTCTATAATTTCACAAGCATGTTTTACGTTTCAAACCAAAATACAGCAAGTGCAACTAGTTGGTGACAGAAACACGGTGTAACAGAGATCAAGCAGACGACATATTTAGAAAATTTCTCTGACTTAGAATAATAAAATATTAATCATTTTGATAAGCATCTAATTTAATTTAATCCCTAGTCAAATAAACAAATAGATAGAATCATCATAAAGATAGCATAAAATTATTATTTGCTTAGTGGAACAAGCGTGCATAGCGCACATACAGAGCACTGTATGAATTGCGAGAACTCGTCGCACGGCGAATGTGTGCTTGACGTATCCGTAGTTCGTCACAGAAATTAATACACCGCTCAACACGCCGTAATTATAATACGCGCCTCCGGCAGAAGCCTGCTATAATTTGTCCCTGCGAAACGTTCGTTAGAACTAGGGACGAATTGCGAGAAGTTTATTTGAAAATTCTGTTTAGCAAAGTGTTACTAACTTGTATTGGTTTATTCATTTTATTAGATTGGGATTAGCAATAAGATGGCAAAACGTTTCATTCCTGAAGACTAAGCAGTCATGCCTCAGTTCCTTATAAGTTAATTACCTCATGTCACCATTCCAACCGAAACACCTGCGTACAAGTTGGGTTAGTAAACATTATGACAGCAGATATAGAAGTCGGACAAGAAGTCATTGTGAATTACATATGCACAAAATCTCTCTTTAATTAATAATTAGGTAATCATTTTAAAATTAGGTTTTTGATAATGACGATACTACATATTCTGATTTTACATTTAAAGTACTAACTCAATTGTCACGATTTCCCCATTTTACCTAGCAACAACATCAGGTACGAGGTAGTGTGTATGACAGGTAAGATGGTGATTATCGGTTTATTCGTCCTATTTCAATAACGTGACAACAGGGAATTATCGTTCAATTTAAAAGTTTGAAACGATCAGGGCAAACTTGTACATACCAAGATTCATCGATCTTCATAAACTATTCCAATTAATTAGACGGTCGAGAATAGTCGTTATGTAGAATGTCTTAATAGATTAATTACTTAGGTACTTGTTGATATTTTAGATATTTCATTACTTGTCTGATTGCAAATAAAACGATGAAAAGCAGATACCGAAATACGATACTGTTTGACTTATGGTAGAAAGAAACTGCTAGTAGATAATTATTCCTGCTACTAATATATCATATTTCAATGAATATAACAAACCATTCCATCGGTGTCGGCCAGATAGGTTTGGAACTTTATAGTATTGGAAAGTTTTTGAGTTGTGATCCACTAATGAAGTAGTATTTACAGTAATGTTAAGTTAATATTTATTCTAATTTCTGATAAAAGAATCTGATCCTTACAACCGAATTAAATAAATTCAAAATGAATAATGATGAATGAATAATGATGTACATTTTTTTTATATTTAAATATTAATTAGGAATACATTATCAAAGAAGAAATTTTAATAAGTAATGAATGTATATTAATCCAATACAAATAATGTTTAATTTTATACTTCTTACAATAAATAAGTAGTATTCATTAATAAGTACTTATTCATTGCTCATTTTTATAAGTGGTCATTATTCTATTCACTTGGTTGGTGAGCATTGAAACCAATCATTAGCGATCTCTAAACGTATAGATAAAAGCTGAGCGGGGTGTAAATACGAACAGCTGGTTATAATTACAGGAACCATAATAATGGATTTATGATCAAATTATGGCTTTGGCCAACCTGCAAGATCAACACAGCGTGTTTATGTCAAGCTAAAAGAATATGGATAGAGAAAGGACGTAACCTCGAATACCCATTAATTCATATTTACTGCCATCGCATTTATGAAACATAAAAAGTTTACGAGAAGGTAGAAAGGCTGCAGGCATATTCCAGCATCGTTCAATTTATGGGTCACCTTAAATAAAGCTTTAATTATACAGCAAGATTTATAGTAGTAGCTAATGAAAATCCGGACCTGTTGGAAGCAGTAGCTTTGATTATTTTAGGAGAGATTGCAATAGAAATATAATTAAGTAATGAAAGTCCAGAAACGCGATATGTCCTCAAATGAAAATACCATAAACTTCTGAAATAAAGAAACAAAAAATTAACATCTAAGCACAAAACACAAGTATTAAAATAAAGTTTAGTACAGAATTTATAATCTATCATACTTTACTATAGAGACCGGGAATAAAGTAATTGGTAGCTGAGTAAGATTGGAATGACGAGGCGAAGTCGAATACATCCCAAGGGAGTTTAAAAGTTGAATTTAAATCTCAAGTTTAATTCCTTTTTTAACTAAACGAGACTGTTAACTGCTATTTTAGCACATACTTTTCTGCAATTAGGGTGTAAGAAATAAACTCATTTATGAAATATAAAATTTAATTCATATGAAAAGTTACAGTTCATACAGGCCAATAATAATTGAATATTTTTATCAGATTAAATAGTCTTTCTTAAAATTCATTATACTCAATTCAAACATACGCAAAATTATTTTATTTTTAGTCTTTGAAATACACATACACAAATAGAAATACACAAAATATTACATATATAATTTTACTAGTTCTTCAAGTTATATACAATATTTATCATGTTAGGAACTACTTAGGTGCTTTCATGATTGAAAAGAGCTAATTACTTGTTTTTTAAAAATAAAATAATACTGTGTTAGAAGAGATATTTGCACAAAATTCTCAGTTAATTAAACTTTTTTTATACAACTTAGAATGGCAAACAAGCTGATGGCCCACCTGATGGAAAACGGTAACTGTCACCTATAGACATAACAGAGTATACTGTTTCGCCCATGATACTCCCCATGCGTTGCCGTTCCTGAGGACTCAGGTGTTATTCCTCTGTACCCTGTAAATTCACGCCATATTGCACCCTTCAAACCGAAACACTGCAAAAAACTCGAAAAAACTGTTTTACAGTATAGATGTTAACAATATTAGATATTGTACAATTAATATAAATAATTTTTTGATTAATGTAGTGATGTTTTCGTACAAATCGATTTAACCGAACAGTAGCATACTCCCTAATGAATTGGTAAATCGATATCGAGGGCGGGTGTATTTTACCATCATTAAAACATATACGAACGTAATGTAGCAATATATGAAATGGTAAATTATGCAATAAAATATACACCATATTTTGCTTTGAAATTTTTTAAATATATTTTTGCCATCAATATCAAAATTTTCAGTAACAGGAAAAATTAATAATAATATTATTGCATGATTAACGTTTAAGTTCGTAGAGTACTTTTAAATAATCAATCAGAAACCTTAGAAATCTTCAATTATTTTTAAAAATTGACAGATATTTGCATCGTTGTTACGCTTCGTTATAAACGCTCTTAGGATAATGGCACGCCGAATGTACTTGAACATAACATATGTAATACTAGTTTTTATTCGTGATATCATCCGCGTGATGAAATACATTGATAGAACGGGATAAAAAGTAGCCCGTGTCCTCCATCAAAAATAGATACATTATGAAAGGTAACAGCTTCTTTAAAGCGATATCTGTACTCTTCTCGTAATGTAAGTTTAAATCAGTTACTTTAATATCCTAGCATATTTACCATTATTGTGTCTGCATTTATCATGCGGTCGGCTTTCTCTGCCTTATCTGTTTGCATTTACACAACTTTCTTACGCCTAAGACACTAATCGTAGATCTTTTTGATCTACTGTCACAATAGAAGATCCGGAAGAGTTTCTACTCTAACCGGTGCGATGTGCGGCCGCCAAAAGTTTTCTCCTGAAATGCTTTTAGCAAGTGATAAGGGTGAAATGCAATTAAAACAAAATCACTATGTACATTATATTTTAACAAATGAACCTATGTAATGACTTGCATCCATATAGGTAGATATATGTAATAAAAAACATGACAAAAAGGGGGTACTTTATAAAGAGCAGATTACACATACATACTTACTATGTTTACTTTCAAAGATTCGTATCTGTTCAAATACTCGTAGTTTCCGACGCTCATGAAAACTTGCTTTGTAATATTTACTTAGGATATCACTATACTTGTGTGCAGGTGGAGAGTGGCGTGCGCCGGGTGCGCGGTGCGGGGGGATGCCCGCACGCAAGGGGCTGCTCGCGCCCCAGAATACCTTCCTCGATACCATCGCAACACGGTTTGATGGCACACGTGAGTTTGTCTTTCACTTTTTACTTTTATATAATTGTTATGTAAGTTGGAGTGGCGAATAAGCTAACGTCTCTCATCTGATAGCAAACAATAACTATCACAACAGACAATCCTGTGGATTAAAATGGTATACCTTTCTGTCCTTCAAATCAATACAATTTAAAAATACTATACCATAAAGAAACACGAAAGACAATTTCTAAATCCATAAGTGAGACAGAAGTACCCATGGAAATCATGAGTGTTTATTTCGACTAATATACAGTTAAAAAGGGAACTAAGCGAAACATAAAATTATACAGAAGCATTCCTTTTTAATGGCAACTACTATTGTATGCGGCCAATTCGATGCGTTATCTTTTGCTGATTGAGATTTCACTATATTCTTATAAATATATTAACGTAAATAGTATTATATCAATAACCATAAATAAAATAATTTCAATTTGAAAACGCATATCGAGTTTTTATGGATTTTGAAATGACAATGAAGCTCTTTAAAAACGAAGGGCCTTTTTTTCTATTAGTAAATATTTACATATTTAAGTATTTTCAAAATTAAATGTTTGTTTCTCCGATATAATCTAACTTTAGCAAATTTTTATTAAAATTAAAAAATCTTTTAATTTAAGGAGTTTTTATATTTAAAATATTTATTTAATTTACAAATTTATAATAAAGTTTTTATTTATATTAAAAATATACTAATAAAAACTTTGAATAGAAAAGGCCTTTTATTCAAAGCAAAATTTGCATAGTCTACCAACTTGTTTGGATTTTTTCCCTTTTCACAACCTCCAATAGAAACTAAATAGTTGAACAAACACTGTAACGAAGCTTTTTCATAAATCTCTAACTTACGATTGGTTCTGAATAACAAGTAGGTGAATAAAATAGAACGTGGCACTGTATGAATGAAACGTCCGATTCCGAATCTTCACCCTGCTGCTCTGCATAGATGAAAATTCAATCCATTCAAGGAGCTTTTATTGCGTTATCTTTATTTATAAAGAGATCGTTTCCGTGTATACTTGAGTTTTCTGTTGTTCCTTTATATAAAAGAGTCTGTAATAGAAGAATGAAATACATTGTAATCGGCGTAAAGATCTATTCTAAACGGAAAAAATCAACAATAGAAATAAAATTATTTTTATATGATAATAATATTGCTTTTTCAAACTATATATATATATATATATATATATATATATATAAAATTAAATCTGTACAAGACCAAAGTAGAATTATTTTTAAAAAAGAATTAACGTGCCTGGCGGAAGCGGTTACAGCAGTTTGTGATGCCTGCATTTTATGAAGCGACGCTCCCGTGAATAATAGAGCTGAGGGACTAGCAGCGGTAACTTTAGCGCAATATCAACGGGAATGATGTGGTTACATTACACTCGCTGTCTTCTCATTTCTATGTTAATAAACTATAGAAATAATAAACAAAGTATAACTATATACTATATATGTACTACTATACTCTTTTTACTAATGTGAAAGTCAATTTGATTTACCAATCACTGTGAAATTTGGTATATACGTTCCATATGAGACAGAGAAGGACATAAGCTATTTTTTATCTTAGCCAGTGAACATATTATATTCACTTGAACAATATCATTAGTAAAAACTAACGATACTTACTTTATAAAAAATATTATTTATTACCTCAACGACTCGACAAATCGTCACGCAATTTAATAATTAAGATAGTCATGAGGACAAAGTTGTGGATATAAATTGGTAAAGATTAAACTATAGAATTCCTCATAAACTCACTTGTTAGAGCAGATCGTATATTTTATCTACGTTTTGTTTATAAATCTTTTAGATTGTATTAAGCAACAATTACTAATAGCTATACACGTTACAGATGATTTTGTGTACGAACAAATAATAAATACGCAATCAGTAGCATTTGATTTCCGCATAGCACTCGTCAGCAGTTCTGTGTTGCGAGAACGTCAGCATATGCTGTTTATTTACGCTGCTTCATCGGCACGAACCGGCAGAATTATCTCTGGTTCTCGTGGAAATTTCGGAAAATCCTTTCTTATTGAACGCCTACGTCATCCATCTGTAATAACCCCATTATAATCCCATTACTGGGCACGAAACTTTGAGAGATATAAGATGAATTGTTATCACATTGACCAGGTGGTTTGATATAAAATTTTATTTCTAATGTTTCTTATTCAACACGGGTATCCTTACTAATTATAAATGTGAAAATGAGTTTTTACTTGATTACGTCTTAACGGCTCAATCAAACTTTATAAAATTATATATAATTATAATTATGTATGTAATTATGGAGTAAGACAGGCTACTTTTATTCAATATATCTAGGATATGGATATGGACTAATATATGATATATTATTTTAATTTATGGTATATATAAAAGGTAATATTGAAAATCTTAAACTACTCGTATCATCAGCAGTTCTGTTGTGACACCCCTCCACGAGTAATAGTAATATGAAATTACAATCACTCATTTTCACAGAGAAAATCTAATATCCTGAAACCTTTCATAAATCCTATCTGTTTAGGAGACTCTACGGAGTTCAGTTATTTCTCAGATATGACTTTCTCGTAAATTAAAACTGTCTCAATAGCGAAGAAGATATCATCTTTCTCCGGTGCCTCTTATAGAATTATATTACAATCGATTTGAGATCAATAAAACCTGAATTATTAATTAACGTTCACTGATTTGAAAATGTTTAATGGATATGAAAGATACCTACAAATTCTTAATAAACGATTGAACCTGAAATATTAAATGCTGAGTGTTCCCAGTGGGGAGAATAAAAAACTCGTAAAGAGGGCGGTATTGAAATCTACAGCGAATGTGAACGCAATTCAATGGGCAATCATTTTTACTTTCCGCAATGCTTTATATTAAATAATATATAGCAATGGATTAAACATTGCCATTATACCTACCTCATCGACATCTTACATAGTAAATATATCATCTATACAAACTTTAATGTTCCTTGCTCAATTGAATTCTACATCTGTACGTCATTTATGAAGTACAATTTCACGAACTGCAATTTGTTATAGGTATGTTATACTGTAAGTACTATATAGTACTTTAAAATTTCAAAGTCTATTTCTAGAATTTATTTCTATGAAATTTGTGCTTACGCAACCCGTAGTACCTACTTATGAGCTTAAATTTGATGTGCATCATATTACTGAAGTAGTTTGATTGCAGATTAAATCGGTGAATATGGCGCCAGTTTCAATTAAATAGTTATTTCTGTGTCTTGTGAATCGTCGGCGCATTGACCGGCCATGCAACCAACGGTTGTAAAATTAGCTACAGATTCGCGAGCATGCACCACGGCAGTCATGACCGCGATAAAGTTATTTCTAGTGTTATAATGGAATTCATATTATGCCACAACGGTAATCCCACTAATATTATAAACGTTAAAGTTTACAAAGATGCATGGATGACTGTTTCTCAGTCATCTAAATATTGTTTGCATGAATAACTAAACACATTTGAATAATACTTTGGAGTTAAAAACAATTTATAAAAAATAGCTAGCTACATCAATAACTCAGACGTGGTTACCATTCCATTTTAACTAATTAAAAAACATAAGCAGATTTCATATATTTTAAAATTATTCTTTGAGGAGCAAGCTTCCGTGCTTTGGATATGAAAATTAAACCTAAATGATTTTTAAGGTTACAATAAGCGACATAAACTGCAATCCTATTCTATATATCCTATTCTATGCCGGAACCTACACAGCTAAATAATATATGTACATGCAGTATATTGAATGGCACACAAGCCTAACTCATAAACTTGGATACCCTAATTTATAAGAAATCAGAGAACAAACATTTGCGGACTCCACAGAACACCCAGAAACGAGACAATTAAAAAAAATGTTCCTTAATTATCTTATTGAGAATCAAACCCAGGAAATTAGGAATATTTACTTACCAACGTGCCTACGAAGATGATAAATGCGCGAATCAAAAACTCTTTTTATAAACAAAACTTGTAAATTAAAATTTCTAAAAGTTGCGTCTGCTGCGATCGGTAATTGTTCTGACAGTTAATTAACTAATTAGAGTTGAATGAAGCCATTACTGATTGATGAAGTTTTAACTGCGGTTTTACTTTGCCTTTAAAACAAACAGTATAATGTCATTATATAACATTTTACGCTTTCATGAATAAGTACAGTTTTGTCTCAATCTAAATATTTTTCTATTATTATGATAAATCTAATACCTTCATCATCATCATCATGTCAACCCTTAACCGTCCACTACATATAATCCTCTACATAAAACACAACATAAAATCCCCCAAGGCCTCCCCCTTGGAGGATTTTGCCAGTAGTTTCCACGCTTGGCAAGCGGATTGGCAACCGCAGTCAGGCTTTAGAGATGTTTTAAGAGGAACACTACTGCCCATCCCTCACCGTCCCTTAGTCGTCTTTTACGACACCCACAGGAAAGGAAGGGGTGACCTATTCTATGCCGGAACCACACGGTCATATATATTTAGTTCTCAGTACCTTCATATATATTTATAATTGATAAAATAATTTTTCCTACCTTACTATCAATACAAACCCAAAAGTACTAAGTTTAAAAATCTGAAATTTATAACAGATAATAATAATCATCCACTAAGAAAGAATTTTTGAAAATTTCAACTTAAAGGAGAAACACATGACATCACGCATATAAAGCTTAAACGTAAAAAACGTAAACAAAAAAAAGATTTTCACAATGACAACAAAGATCCCATCGATTGGAAAAATAATCCTCAAACATAAACACAGATACGTAGAAAAATACTGAATTTAGAAGCTTTTCCTTTTAGAAGTCGCTTAAAATATATATAACGCTGTGACATTAGTACGAGTACTTGCACGTATCTTACTTACCCACATGAACCTTACAAAATTCTACGACATATAACCTTTCCATTGTGTTATTTTGTTTTAG